TTAGGGTTTCTAAATTTTTCGACGCTAAATACAAAAAAAGAAAAGAAAATTTACATATTTTAATAAGCAAATCACTATCATAATAATAAATATTTGTAAAACTGTCATTTATTCATTGTTATCCATGTTTATTTAAAATAATATTTACTTTTTTCTGTAAAAATATGGAATAATAACAACTATTTTAGATTTACTACTATATCTGATACTATCTTATAAAATATATTAAAATTTAAGGGAAAATTCATTTCTGTTTCAAAAATAAGGCGGAACAATAATATAATTTTTGATTTACAATAGATAGACATGCATGGTATCCATATGCGTCATGTCACGCTGATCCATATTTTTTTCCAAAACTCGATCTAATTGCTATTATGTGCAAAAATCACCGCCGATCACGTTCATGTTCACGTTAGCACTCCATACCTTAATTCACATGTAAACCTCTCTGCCTATCTCTGACTTCAGCTCTCTCATCTTCGAGTCTCCCCAAGAAAGTTTTGACACCACACCAACATTTCATTCGTCAAAATTAAATCGAGTTTGCACAAGGTTACAACCGATTAATAGGTGGTCTTCTACCTTCTATTTACGATTTTATGCTATGAATATATGTTTTTGTCAGGGTTCAAGTCAATCTCCGGATTAGAGACTTATAATCATCCGACGAACAATACGATGGCGTGATAACCGTTTCTAAATTGGTGGGTTCTCTTTCATTGATCTACATATTATTTTTTTGTTTGTTTTTTTTTCCAAATATTTAGATTGAAACGACGACGAACACGATGATCGTACCAAAAATTTCATCTATTCCGGTACGTTTGATCTTTATTTTAATTAGTTTAACAATTAATAGCCGTTTACGATTAATTTCGGATATCTAAATCTTATTAATTTGAGTAAGGTTAGAATAGTATTCTTTTATGTTTATATTAATGCTCCGATTAATAATTTTTGGATATTTGACATTATCATCTTAAATATATCAATATTATAATAAATATTTTCCTTTTCCGATTTTTTTTTTTGGTATAATTCCTTTTCCGATAAATTATGAAACAGATCTGTTTCACAAAAGGTAAAAAAGAAAAAAAAAAAAAAAAAAAAAAAAAAAACCCATCAACCGTCTCCATTCACACGTTTCTTCATTATGATCACGAATTCACGTTCATGGAAGCTTCATCATACATTAACACTTACAAGTTTCTTCGTCGAGTTTTTATCCAAGGTTTCTTCGTCAACTCTGTATCCAAGGTAATAAATATTTGTTCTTTTCATTGGTTAGAATTATAGGGTGCAGGATAGTATTGACGTCTTAAAGACATAACATGGGCAAGATACTATGAGAAGCTTGACTATTCTGCTTCGACAGATCAACAGGTGAAATTCTATCACTAAATTATTAGATCTCTGTTATTGCTATGAATATATGCTTTATGTTAGGATTTCAAGTTTTGCCTTCGTTTAGAAGAATTATATTCACACGACGAAGAACACGATGAATTCAATTAAAGCTTCCTAACTGGTACTTCGTTGTTCCTTTTTTTTTTTTGGTTAATTATCATGTTTATTGTTTCCAAAATTATTTTTTCCTGGTTAATACCGAAATTCAATTTAATTTTTCCAAAATTAATTAGATTTCATTAAGGGTAATTAAGTAATTACGTAAAATCAAGGACTCAACAAGAGCCGAGAGTCCGACACGTCAGCAAAAACACTTCTCAAATATTGTTATATATAGATCTTTTTACTCAGCCAACAAAAAAAATTCCTCTAATAATTTTTTACTATTTGGTACAACAATTAACAAATACTAGATTTTAACCCACACTGCGGAACGATTTGTTTTTAAAATTAGCGATTTTTAAAATTTAATGATTATATATTATATAATTTTTTTTGGCAAATTATATCAATTTATAAGTCATTTATATTTTATAGTTTACAATTGTTATTAAGTAACGGTATACCACAAAACAATTTTTGTTTTATACTCCTTCCGTTTCACAAAGAGTGCCATTTTGACACATTTCACATAAATTAAGAAAACATTGAATTATACATGTATGCACCTATTTAATAAGTGATTAATGATTTAAATTCAATGAGAAATGGCTTAAAGTTAAGGGTAAATCAGGAAATTTTATGTAAAAATTACATTGAAAATGTAGAATGACACTCTTTGTGAAACAAAAATTAAAGTCTAGAATGACAACCTTTGTGAAACAGAGGGAGTACAATTTACTTTAATCAAAATTATTTTATATGTTTAATATTGGTGATGTTAAAAAGTAATAAAATGAAGATTTAACCGTATTGAAGCAGCGGATTAATGATGTTTAATTTTTTTTTTTGATTCAAACTCGTCCCATCATATAACTCCGTCCTACAATATAACCGTCCCATGTTATTTTAACTCTTTATATATGTTCAAATGTTCTTATATTATAAACTTTTTTACTGATTTAAAATATATGAATTATAATATTTAAAACTTCTTAAAGATTCGTCCCATTATATAACCTTGTCTACCAATATAATAACCCGTCTCGTGTTATTGCAACTCTTTCTATATGTTCAAATGTTCATAATATTATAAACTTTTTATTGATTTTAAATATATGAATTATACTATTGAAAACTTTTTAAAAGTTTAAAATTTAACATTTTCGGTAAAATTAAGCAATTAAACTAAAAAAACTGAATGAAACGGTATCTAATTTTAAATTTGGATGCTTATTGAGTTGAGCTTCTTGTTCATTCGGATTTGGATTCATTTTGATCTTGTTTATAATATGATTCTGAATCAATATCTAAAATATTTTAGCCGATAGGGAATGTTAAACACACACCTTTTTCATCAATTGAGTAATATATATCCGTTTTAAAATTTCGAATCCCAATATATGCAGAAAAAAAATTGAGATTTTTTTTTTAACTTTATGTATTATATGACGATTCAAAAGAGCTAAAAAATGTTCAAACAAAGATGATAGGAGAATTTTATATCTAAATTTTAACCATATCTTCTAAATATCTATATTTTTAAATATGGAATATCCGGTTCATAATTTCGGATATGTTTTGACATGATCCAAAAACAAGGATATGAACTATTTGATGTAAGATTTATCAAGTAAATTTCTTATTGGGCCGGATACTAAATTTGTCGGATAATAATTTAATCCACCTGTTTAAAATATACTTCATAAATATTAATATAGATATTGAATTGCAAATGGCAGAACACAAAATAGGTAGAAATTCACATGGAGGTGTATTTGGGGAAAAACTATTTGATACAAACTATAAAGACTTGGAAGAATTTTATAAGGAGGCACGTTGCACTCCATGACAAATGATATTCTTTCAATGTCAGAAAAAGCTTCAATTTCCCGTTGAGATGATTAGAAAAATCTTAACGTGTATATATATTATGAGTTCTATAATTTAACCTTCAAATTGGAGGATAAAAAAAAACTGTATAGCCGACATTTCGAATATTTATGAGGCGCTAACAGAGTGACGGGGCTAAGAGAGAGCTCCACCTACGTACGCGGACCAACAAGAGGCGATGCATAGCTTCTTTTTTTACTGAGAAGCTGAAAATATAATACTAACAATAAATATATATTAAAGAAAACAAAATATGACATTACACAATTGACCTTTTTTTTTTTTTTTTTTCACTAAAAGTTTCCGTCTTATATAGAACCAGTTACAAAAAGTGTCTGCAGTGGAAACTTCCACTTACATTCGATGTAGAAACAGCATTAAAAGAAACATAGATTAGACTAAGCTGCTACCATCCTGTTAACCTAAACAAACCAGTTAACCAGCTATTCAAAAAAGCTCTTCCAAAAAGAAATTCTAAGAGCCAATCCCCTTTATCAACTTCCGTAGCAGCTACCTGAAAAACTTAAGCAACTAACAACAAAAAAACCACAACATGACAGAACTTTATAGAGTGACAGATTTAACGCTTCTTAGGAGGTTTCAGAATCCCTCCTATCATATGCTCTTTACCCTTTTGTTTTGGGTCTCTTCTGACTGATTCATTGACTGCACCATGTTTGCGTTTTGAAGATTCTCCACCTTCAAATCTGTGAGATGATTCACCTTGTTCAAACCTCCGAGATGTTTCTCCCAATTCATATATTTTAGATGCTTCTCCAAAGTCATCACTTGTTGACTCAACTTCAAGTTTAGAAGTTAATTCAGACTCCCTAGTCGGAGAAGAGTTAGAACCAGTAGATAACTGATGAATCCTTGAAACAGACTGGGGATTAGGTGTCTCATAATCCAGAATATGATCACTTCTTGATCGATGTAGCCAAGGCATAGCCGCTACAAGTTCATCAGCATTAGGAGGCGGAGCAGCAACTCTTGGTGGAGGCGAGATTGGGGCTGGAAAAGAGGCTTCAGAATTTTGAGATTGAGAGTTTAGATCAGACCTATGAAGATCATCTCTCAAAGCACACCGTTCCCTCTCTATTCTAGGATCTCCATCATCACCATCTCTTTGATCTGGCAAGGGAATTCTATAAGGGCAGTAGGTCCTGTGATGAGTAATCCTTAAATAGTTACTGCAAATTCTCCTTAGTCGCTCATATTGAATTCTGACAAGAGCAGACTCCCCGGAATCAAACATTACTCGTTGAAAGAACCTCAGCCTAGCATTAAGACCAATTCTAATCCTAACTCTAATATAGGCAATTTGAGGAGTAGTAAATTCTTGATAATCCACCAGTAACACTTCTCCAATTCTTTCAGCAACCAATCTAACAGTACCCTCACACACATAAGGCAAAGGTATACCTCTAAAATGCACCCAAAGTTCCGTTGATGTAAGAAAATCAACATCCGGAATGTCCTCCCACCTTTGCGCAGCCACAAACCAGTTGTTAAAAACCCACGGTGCCCTTCTTTCTACTGAAATAAGATCACTTTCAGATTGGAATAAGAACTGAACATAATTCCCATCAAGAACCCTTCCATGAACTCTGGAATCTAAACCCCAAGTCCTTGGTAAAGAAGAGACCATAGAGAATAAGTTTTGAGCTCTTGGATTTAAAGGGCGCGCAATCACACTTAACCTGTTACTAGCTACAGCAGCTGCATACACTCCTTCAGGAATAAACACTTTCGGATCATCTCGACCCAAAGCCAAGTTCTGAAGCTCATCCCACAACTCATCCGCCATTAGGGAAAGAAAAGAAGAAAGGGGAGAAGTGATTCTAAAACTAAGATAAGGTAGGTATATATAGTGAAGAAATAAGAAGGAAAAAGAAGATAGATTTAAAAAAGTTACCAATTGTTGACCAAAGAAAAGCAGTAAAAGAAGATAAGGAGGAAAAAGGATTGAAATGATGAAAAACGTAAAATGAGGTGATAAGAGAAGCCACTAATAGAACCTATGTCCTATTG